GCTCCCCTCCGTCCCTGCTTTTTTCCGTCGCTCCTCCTCCTCCTTCTCCTCCTCCTCCTCCTCTTCTTTCTCCTCCTCCTCCCTCCTCCTCCTACTCGTCCTCCTCCTGCTCCGTCTCCTCCTCGTCCCTCCTCCTCCTCCTCCTCTCTCCTCCCCTCCTCCTCCTCTCCCCCTCCTCCTCCTCCTCCTCCTCTCCTCCTCCTCCTCCTCCTCCTCCTCCTCCTCCTCCTCCTCCTCCTATAATCCAGAACTCCTCGCCCCTCCTCTCTCCAGAGGGTCCACGCTGCCCCCTCAGGATCCGAGGCGACCGGCCGCCTGGAAATATGATCCACGATGGGACCGCGATCTCGTCGATCCTCCTCGAGCTTCGATCACCTCGATCCTGCACCCTCCTCGATCCCCCGGGAAGGGGGGCGAGAGGTCAGGGGGACGAATCCTCGGAGAGATCGAGCCGTCTGGGTGTCTGGGTGTGGAGGAGGAGGAGGGGCCAGGCCAAATCGACCACCCGGCCTTCAGGCGAACCCAGCCGTGGCCACGAGAAGGCCCAGAAACGGCCAAGCTCGGATGCACGCAGGGGAAGCAGAGTCGGGCTCCCCGCTGCCCCTCCCCGCGTCTCGTCCGCGCGCGCACGCCGCCTGCCCGCTGCTGTTTTTGGGGCTCCAGGGTGGGACCGCTTGTCCCGCCCGCCCACCCCCGTGTTTGTTTTTGTTCATCCGTTCTTGCTCAGGAGGGGAAAAACACACAGACACAATCAATCGTCGATGCCCCAGAAAATATATGAAAATATGGGACATGGGGGGGAAACAGAAGCCCAGGAAAAGATTTGGAAATCTTGGTATTGGTGTGTGTATGTGTTTGTGTGTCCCTGGGCTCCTTCACTTGTTTCTGCGGCGCCGCTGCGCCCGCCGCTGTGTGGGGCCGGGGGCGGCCTCGGATATCTTGGTGCCCTGCCAACAAAAAGAGGAGGGAGAGGAGCGGGAGCCAACGCGCCCCAGAGCGCCGATCTTGGATCCCCTGAGATCTGACGGCGCAAGACAGTTGAAACCTTCTAGAAAAAAGCGCGACCAGATCCCTGGACCCCATCTTCGTGCCGCATTTCTCGAGCCGGACCGATCTGTGAGGGTCTTGGGGACCCGAGACCTGACGAGGACGCTCGGTTCGAACAATCGTTTGACGGCAGCATCTCGGGTGCGTCAGTGGGGGCTCTTCCGAGCGACGCGAGGGGGCGAAGGGCAGGGTTCGTTTCGATCAGATTCGATACTCCTCCTCCTCCTCCTCCTCCTCCAACTCCAACTCCAACTCCTCCTCCTCCTCCTCCTCCTCCTCCTCCTCCTCTCGATGCTTCTATGGTGCTGCTGTGCCTCCTGGCGCAGCCCATCCGATTCGAGCTCGATGCCGTGACGATGCAGCCCGATCCGAAGCACGGGTCGATCCGGTCCGATTTCCCGATTCGATGCCGGCGGATCCTGGCGGAGGGGTCTCCTTCGCCGCTGATGGGGTCACCCGCTGGCCCGCTTATTGCACGCAATTCCCCCGCCTTGGAGATGGCGTGCACCGAAAAGGCCCCGGCAGGGGGATGGCGTGCATCGACGAGGCCCTCGCATGGGAGAGAGCGTGCGCAGCAGGGGCCCTCGCCGGGGGGGTTCGCCTCACAGGGATACCGTCAACCTGCACAGCGAGGATGGGCAACCTTTAGTGCACCCTTGCATCCTTGCCTCCTCGGTCCATCCTTGGCCACTTCCGCTGGCCGCGCCCCGCTCGGAAAGCTTCGAAACGGGCGTCCAAGGCCCCTGCATCCTCACCGCTAGGGGACCACGTGCGAACCCGACCCCTACCCCCCACGATTTCTGAGGGGGAGGGTGGGGTTCACTTCGCTCGGGAGCTCCCGAACGAAGTGAACCCGACCCCTCCCCCTCAGAAATCGTGGGGGGTAGGGGTCGGGTTCGCACGTGGCCCCGTGCCTGCATCCTCACCGCGCGCGCACCCTTCGGCTGCGGGCCGACCGTGGCGCGCAGGTCGGAGCTCGCTGCTGCCCGCTGCCTCCGCGGCGCCCGCCGCGGCGGGCGAGGCCGCGGGGCGCGAGAGCGCGGGCCGCGGGCGGAGCGCCCGCCGAGGGGGCCGCGGCCCGCCGGAGCGGCGCGCCCCCGGCGGGCACCACGGCGTCGAGGGACTCCGGCCGTGGCGACGAGAACACCCTGGGGGCCCCCCCAGGAAGGCCAGAACCGTCCCCCGAACACTGGTCCTCGAACCTCGTCCTCCTCCTCCTCCTTCCTCCTCCTTCCTCCTTCCTCCTCCTTCCTCTTCCTCCTCCTCCTCCTCCTGCTCCTGCCTCCTGCTCATCGATCCCAGCCCTGCCCCGCCGATCGATCTTCGATCCCGAGCCTCAGAGCGGCGCCAACCCCCCTCCGGGAGAGAGGACCGGATCTCGGAGCTGCTCGGGGAGCCGCCGCACATCATGGAGGAGCGCAGGGGCCCAGAGCCTGGGCACGGCAGAGGGCCGCAGCCACGACCGAGTCCAGATGAGGAGGAGGAGGAGGAGGAGGAGGAGGAGGAGGAGGAGGAGGAGGAGGCACCTTTCACGTTGGACAAGCGTTGGCTTGCTCGAGCCGTCGCGTCTAGGTGGCAACGATCTGAGAAGAAACCTTTCGGAGCGCGGCACTCGAGAAAGGAAAGCTCAGGCCCTGGTACTGCAGCAGCGCGCGTCGAGAAGGAGGAAGTACCGATACCGCCACCCTTCGCGCCTGTTTTCCCCTTTCTCGGGCCTCCTGCGAGGCCCTCGTCGCCACCGCTGGGTGCGCCTCGAAATCCTGGTCCGAACGCACCCTGGGAGAGGTGCAGGGAGTAGTGGTATCGGTACCTGTTGATTGTAGTGGCCTCTGGCCAGTGCCGCCGATCCAGGGCGCTCCTGATGCTATTGTTGTTGAAATGGACGATGACGACGACAACGGACGACCTATGGTCGACAAGCGGGATAATTACGACGACGACCGACGAAGGAGTTAATGACGACGAACCGACGACGACGACGCACCCTGGGAGAGGTGCAGGGATGAGCGGTATCGGTACCTGTTGGTTTCCCCGTAAAGTGGATTTTGCGGGAGAGCCCTCTCGGGGAAGGGCCCCACCGACTTCGGCATGGGCCCTCGGGTTGCGGCTGTGGTTGATTTGGCCGTCCTGGGGCGCCCCTTCGACCACAGCCAGAGCTGAGCTGGCTGCGGTGCTCTGTTGTAGGCATGCGCAGGACACCCCCCCGGGTGCGTTCTCGATGTGGTTGTGGTCGCTTACGCCGCGTGGCGAGTCGGTGTGGAGTCGGGATCACCGCACGGGTTTGGGACTCGGGTCGCTCTCCGGGGACGCCTCGGGCGACCGGGGCCTCCGAGGTCCGTGCGCATGGTGCGGCTTCGGGTTGCGCACGGACAGCCCCCACCAGGCAGTCCTGGCTGGCCGAAGCAGTCCCCCGAGTGGTGCCAGCTGGCCTCAACAGGCCGACCGATCAGTCCGGGGCGGTCTCAACATCCTGGCGGCGCCTCTGGCGGCGCCCCGCGCCCCAGGGTTGAGGTGTTGAGACCGCCCTGGACTAAGCGGGAGGCCTGTTGAGGCCAGATGGGACTGCTCGGGAGGCCTGTTGAGGCCAGCCGTGGCTGTCTGTGTGCAACCCGAAGCCTCACCAGGTGCGCCAGAAGCTTCGCATGTGATGTGCTGGTCTACATAATCATCCTTGTCGTCATTGAGTGTTACAGTCAACACTGATAGTAAGGATGAGTGACTTTCTGGGGTTTCCCTTGTATCGTTTCACTTCGGCCCGTCCCTGGCCTTTTCGTTAGCCGCGCCCCGCTCGAAACGTGTTGCCATGCCTTCCAAGGCACTTGGATCCTTCTCGTGCATTCTTACTATCAATTTTGACATGGGTCTGACCCGCAGGGAGGAGACGCCTCGACCCCTCGTGACTGGTGTGTGCTAGACTGACATACCGCGTCCTTTTTTTTCTTCTCCTTCTTCTTTTTCTTGTTCTTCTCAAATTTCTTCAATGAAGTCATCTTCATCATCATTTTTTTTTCTCAATATTCTTCTCCTTCGAAGTCAGAATGGAGGTGCTTTTCGATGTTCTGCCCTCGGGGGCTCTTAGAGGGCCCCGGGGCTCTTAGAGGGCCCCAGAGCCATCCAAACGACCCAGGATGGAAAGCCCGCCCTGGGGAAAGGGTCGGGACTTCTTGGGACCGCGTATGGGAGAATTCGGGACGTCGCCGCGCGTCTGGGACCCCAGCCCCTTCATACCTGGTGTCTGCTCGACAACCCTGGGCGTTGGCTAAACAGTCCTGGGTGTTGCCAGAGTGTCCCTTGCCCAGGGTGTCCCCGGGATCTCCTGGGGCGGCCCAGGTGGCCTGCAGAGCGCCCCACACGAGACCCAGAGATCCCCAGGGTTAAAGTCGGGCGTGTCCCTCCACAGGAGGAACATTCAAAAGTAGTAGAAAGCAAAGTGTGGGGACGATTTTTTTTTTTTTTTTTCTTCGTCCAAGATCCGCCTGTCGGGTGACACGCCCGACCTAACCGCAGGGTGCTCGTAAACGGCGCAGAAAGCGGGGGACACCTTTGGCCTGGGGACATCGCTGGCAACTCCCGACCGGCGGGTCTCCCTGGCGTTTCTTCTGCCTGCCATGGGGGGAAAGAGCACCCTGAACCCCATAACTGGCGTTTGCTGAGCAGTCCCGTGCGTTCGCCGAACAGCCCTGCCCCTTCCTTGCACGCCGGTCGTTGAGAGTAGATGCTTGTGGACTCCCAGATCCCAATCGGCTTCAAGCGCTTCTCTACTTCAAGAGTCGATCTGTGCTCGTTGGGTTTTGATGTTTTTCGGGCGGGCCCGAACTCAATCCACTTTATCCGCCTTCCTACCCCATGTTTCCACCTGCTCCTGCTGACTGCCGGGTATGGGCGCGTTTGCTGGAGGCCTTCCGTCGTCTCAGGAGGGGAACACACACAGACACAGATAACTGTCGATTCCCAGGGCAAATGTGGGACACACGGAAAGTGGAGGGGAAGACGACAGCATCCGGAAAACATGGAACATGCTGGGGATCCTTGGATCTGTGCCCATCTATTTTTTGTGTGTCCCTGGGCCCCTTCCTTGTCGGGGTGCCACCACGAGGGTGGCTTCTGCCCCGCGAGGAGCGCAAGGTGCTGATGCAGCAGCTGCAGGCGCGCGGCCCCCTTGGGGGGGGCTCCCGCGGCCTCTGCCCCCCCGCCTGCAGCCCCGCGGCCCTGTGTGTTCGGAGCTTGATCGACCTCCTACAGTCAAAGACCCTAATAAGGACGCGCGACTTTGCTCAGGGTACCCTTGCGTCCTTGCTCTTCCTTGCTCTTGCGGCTCGTCCTTGGGGTTTTTCTTCGTCCGCCGCCCCAGAAATCCCAACTTCGGCTTCCAAGGGTCTTGCGTCCTCACCGCGCGTCCTTATTAGGGTTTTTGACTGTACCCTGACACGTCGATTAGCGCATTGGCCGTTTTCGGTTCGCGAGCGGGCGTCGCGGCCGTCCTTCTTGCGGGTCCGGGTCCGTCGGTTTCGGTCCCAGGCCGTTTTCACCAGAGGGAGGTTTACTAACGGGAGGCCTGTCCACCGCCGATGTGTGGCCCTTCCCGGACGCTCGTCCTCGACCTCGGCCTCCGAGGCCCGCTGGTCGGAGGAGGGCGAGGTGCCGATGCCACGACCCTGCGCGCCCGTTTCCCCCCTTTCTCGGGCCTCCTGGGAGGCCCTCGTCGCCACCGCTGGGTGCGCCTCGAAGTCCTGGTCAGAACGCACCCCTGGGAGAGGTCCGGGGAGAAGCGGTATCGGTACCTGCTGGTGTTCCCATGAGCGGATTTTTCGGCAGAGCCCCCCTCGGGGAAGAGCCCGGGTTGCGGTTGTGGTCGAACTGGCCGTCCCGGGGCCCTTCCTCGACCGCAGCCAGAGCTCGGCTGGCCTCAGTGTTCTGACGATTGGATTGTTGGCATGCGCAGGACATCCCCTGGAGCGTGTTTCTTTATTGCTTTGGGCATAATGGGCGTTATGGCCCCCGGCCCCCCCCCATAACGTAATGCTCCCCCCCCAGTGCGCCCTGGGTACTGCCGCCGTGCGCATCGGGACCCGCATAGGCGTCCGCAGAGGAATCCGCATAGGGGTCTGGTCCGCAGTCTGCAGTCGTCGCCGTCGTCGTCGTCGTCGTCGTCGTCGTCGTCGTCGTCGTCGTCGTCGTCGCTCGTCGCTCGTCGCTCGTCGCTCGTCGCTCATCGTCGTCGTGCGCGCGGACGCGGCTGGAGCCTGTTTTATTCCGGGCCGATGACGGCCGTTATCGGGGGGGGGGGACGGGGCCAGGGACGTCACGTTTCGTGCCGCCTGCGTCTGGGAATGCCTAGGAATGACCGAGGACGGGTAGCAACACCATGTAGGTGGCGATCCGCACCACAGCGCCTGTGTACACCACAGTGCCTGCGTGCACCACAGACCACAGCGCCTGTGTACACCACACAGCCTATGTACACCACAGCAGCCGCGTGCAACACAGCGCCAGTGTGTGCCACAGTGCCTGCGGGCACCATAGCGTGTACACCACAGCGCCTGCGTACACCACATCAGCCGTGTGCAACACATCACAGGTGTACACCACAATGCCTGCGTGCACTACAGCGCCTGTGTACACCACGGCGCTTGTGTGCACCACAGCAACCGTGTGCAACATAGCACAATTGTTGCATATATAACTGTTGTAAGGAGTCATTGTGACAAAAGTGAACACCTGTGGATTCCACACAAACAACAACTGTATATAGGATTTGGAAGGTAAGCCTTGTAGAAAAACGAGCGCCGCTGGAATCAACGAGCCCTCCTGCATCATCACAACTCCTCCCATATGCGTCCAGGAGGCCTCAGCATTCTGCGGTGCGCGCTGAGATGCGCACGTGCGCTGTAGCGCCGACCCGCACGACAGGGGGGAAGGGTGAGGGAGGAAGAGAAAGAGGGGGAGGAGGAGGAGGAGGAGGAGGAGGAGGAGGAGGAGGAGGAAGAGCAGGAGGAGGCGAGGATAGGAGGAGGAAGGAGGAGGAGGAGAGGAGGAGAAAGAGGTGGAGGAGGAGGAGGAGGAGGAGAAAGAGGAGGAGAAAGAGGTGGAGGAGGAGGAGGAGGAGAAGGAGCAGGAGGAGGAGAATGATGATGCTGCTGCTGATGATGGTGATGCTGATGATGATGAAGTGGCGATGATGATGATGATGCTGATGCTGATGCAGATGATGGTCACGATTATGATGATGCTGCTGATGATGATGATGCTGATGTTGCTGCTGCTGATGATGATGCTGATGATGATGATGCTGGTGGTGCTGCTGCTGATGATGATGATGCTGCTGATGATGCTGATGATGCTGATCATGATGATGCTGATGCTGATGCTGATGATGATGATGATGATGATGATGATGACGATGATGATGATGCTGACGACGATGATGATGATGCTGATGATGATGATGATGATGATGGTGATGATGATGATGCTGATGCTGATGATGATGATCATGATGATGCTGATGATGCTGCTGATGATGATGATGATGATGATGAGGAGGAGGAGGAGGAGGAATAAGAGGGGGAGGTAGACGAGGAGGAGGAGGAAGACGAAGAGGAAGAGGAGGAGGAGCAGGATGATGAAGAGGAGGAGGAGGAGGAGGAGGAGGAGGAGGAGGTGGAGGTGGATGTGGAGGTGGAGGTGGCGGTGGAGGAAGAGGGAGGATGGAAGAACGTCCTATTGCAGTATTAACGCTTCCGTGGCGTGGTGTTTAGCTGTCCGCAGCAGATCTTGCCTTATATTCTCCTTTTACCTGTCCTGTGCACGCATGTGCTGTGGTGTACTCCAGCGCTGCGTTGCACGCGGATCCTGTGCTGTAGACAGGCGCTGTGGTGTGCACAGGCGCTGCGGTGCACGCAAGCATTGTGGTGTACACAGGCGCTGTGTTGCACATGGTTGTTGCGGTGTGCACCTTGCTGCGGTGTACACCGACGCTGTAGTGCACGCAAGCACTGTGGCGTACACAGGTGCTGCGTTGCACACGGCTGTTGCGGTGTACGCAGGCGCTGTGGTGTGCACTCGCGCTATCGTGCACGCGATCATTGTGGTGTACACAGGCGTTTTGTGGCAGACCGCCATCTACATACTGCTCCTCATTGGTCTGGCTCATCCCTAGGCATCCCTTTTCGCCGCTGGCACGGAACGTGACGTCATCTTGGGGGGGAGGGCTGGGCCGATGACGGCCGCTATCCCAGAAAATAATGATACCAGAGAGAAACCCCAATCAAAGTCTTTTTAGGGCTATAGGGCTATGGGGCTATTGGGCTATAGGGCGATGAGGCTATGGGGCTATATGGCTACGGAACTATGGGGCTAGAGGGCCACAGGGTTATAGGTCTATGGGGCTATAGGGCTATAAGGCTATAGGACCATAGGGCTATAGGGCTGTAGGGCTATGGGGCTATGGGACTACGGGGCTCTGTGGCTATTGGGCTATAGGGGCCATAGGGCTATGAATCTATAGCGTAATGGGGCTATAGGGCTATAGGACAATAGGGCTATAGGGCTATGGGGCTACAGGGCTATAGGGCTATAGGCATATAGAGCTGTAGGGCTATTGGGCTATAGGGCCATGGGTCGCTAGGACTATAAGGCTACAAGGCTATACGGCTATAGGGATATAGGGCTATGGGGCTACGGGGCTGTAGGGCTATTGGGCTGTAAGGCTATAGGGCTATAGGGCCTTAGGGATATGGAGCTACAGGGGCCACCCTGGACGCACGGCCCCCCCCGCCTCCTCCTGCAGGAGCAGCGGCGTTGGAGTCGGGCCGGGCGAGGGCAGGACAGGGAACGGAAGGGTTGCGAAGTCTGCTGCGTGCAGCTGGTTCATGGGCGCCAGGAGGCGCCAGGAAGACCAGCTGCGTGAGCTGATTCTCTATCCTGCCCTTCGCTATCCTACCCTTTCGTCCCCCCCGAGAAAGGGGGGGATGAGCTCAAGGGGGGGGGATGCATCGACTCCCAGTCTCCCTTCGATTGCCGATAATCCAGGCATCCCAGGTGAGGTCGAAGAAGATGGGGTCGGACCATTGTGGCGCATCGCCGATGAATCCGCGATGCGGCTCGATGCAGAGGCGGCTGGTTGTCTCCACGCCGACGCCGCCGATATCCGCCGATGCATCGCCGACGTGGCCGATGCACCGCCGATGCACTGGCGATGCGGCGCGATGCTCCGACCTCTCTCACTCGCACCCCATCTATAGGAGGCCTCAAGGTCAGGGCCCGATTCACCAGCCTGAAGCATACCACTAGCCCCACGATTGGCATCGCCTCATCTCGATGCCGATCTCGAGGACTCCTTTCAGTTTCGGAGGACGCATCCCCAAGACCGTCCTCGCCTGAGGGAGAGCCTTAGGCATCGGGATCTGCCCGAGGCTGGTCACCGATCGCCCGCCCCGCCCGCCGACCGCGCCGCTTCGACATCGGAGAGGCCCATCGCTGTTCCCTCGGCGACGTGCCGCCGATCTCGGGCCGATGCTTCCCCCCCCCCCCTCCTCCTCCTCCTCTCCTCCTCCCTTCCTCCTCCTCCTCCTCCTCCTCCTCCTCCTCCTCCTCCTCCTCCTCCTCCTCCTCCTCCCTCCTCCCTCCTCCTCCTCCTCCCTCCTCCTCCTCCTCCTCCTCCTCCTCCCCCCCTTCCTCCTGCCCTGCGCGCTCAGCCCTCGGACCTTCGAGGGCTCCTCGGAGGCGTGTGGCTTCCCCCCCCCCCCTCTCTCGTCTCCCGACCACCACGCCGCCAGGGCTCCTTCCGATTCCTCCGCTTCGCTTCGACTCGACCTCGATGGCTTCCGATTCCGAGTCCATCCCACTCCGATTTCGACTCGACTTCGTCTTCGATGGCGAGTCGATCCGACTTGGGATTCAGATCTGGGTTCCTGTTTCTCCCTGGAGAGGCCTACTGGCCTGCCGATGTCTGCCGATTCTACTTTTCCCGACTCGGCTGCCGATTTCCGCCGACCCGATTCCTTTCGATCGCCGATCCGACTTGTCGATTCGATTCTGGGCTCTCCTGCACGCCCGGCGCACGCAGCTCGTCCTCCATGGCCAGGCTGCCCGCACGGGCGCGCCGAAGGGTGCCACCGGCGCATGCTCTTGGCGGGATGGCCACGTCGGCAGAGGTTGATTGGGCCTGCGGTTCCCCGCGACCGCTTTGTTCTGGACGGGCTGCGTCCGCCACTGCCCCCCGTGTGGGGTGGGACGCTCGGGGGGAAACAGTTCGTAGATTGCTGGGTCGTTTCCAGGCTCTGCACGCTCTCTGGCAGCTGCGCCTCGCCGGGGGTGTTCTGGCCGTGCCCGGATTGCCCCGATCTGCCGCTGGGGATCCGAGGTATGACCCGAAAACCAGACCTCGAGAGCAGCGAGTTTCGGAGGAGGGCGAAGCTAGCCCCAGACCAGGCCAAACCGGGCACAGAGCGACGACGTCTCAAGCGAAACAAGCCCCAAACCAGACCAAGTGAGGCACATGGTGGTGATCGTTTTTTTGTTCATTGTTTTGCCGATCGGCGCGGGCCCCAAACCGCCCCTCCCCCCCCCCAGAGTAGATCTTGGCTGTTTTTTGCGCCCGTTTCGAGCAGGTGGAGCCTCCCCCATCATGGACGCACTGATCCAAATAGCCGCACTAAGCAGAAGTCCGGGGCCAGACCCCCCCCCCTCCCCCCTTCCGCATGTCGAAACGCCGAACAGAAAAACGCTCACGTGACGACATCTCAGGCGAAACTGGCCCCGGACCAAGCCAGTCGATACAACGGCGTCCCTCCCCGGCGCTTGTCGCCCTTCTTTTGCTTCTTGGGCTGGATCCTCGCGAGGCTTCTCGTCACCACGGCTGGGGATCATCCGCGCCGCACGGCCAGGTCGAGATGGACCCCAGGAGGGGTCGGTTTCCAAAACTCGGGGGTTTATAGACCTCCTATCCTGACACGTCGATTAGTGAATTGGCCGTTTTCGGTTCGCGAGAGGGCGTCGCGGCCGTTATTTTCGCGGGTCCAGTTCCGTCGGTCTCGGTCTTAGGCCGTTTCCACCAAAGGGTGGTTTATGAAAGCGAGGTTTGTCCACCGCCGAAAAACTGTTGTGGGACGAAGACCACAATTACCACCTGGGCCACGTGACAAAAGCGTGCTCGACTGCGCCGATACTAAGCGCGTAAGCTGCCTGCGTAAGATGGCGCATGAGCGCCCTCGTTTTGTCAATGTAGCGTGCCGCGCTGGCGGCCCGCCTGAGCCGCGGGAGAAAGTCGCCGTATCGAATGGCGGCAGACCGTTTTTCCCAACCGTCCTGTGGTGCCAGGTCCTCGTTTTGAAGAGACAGCGCCCCGCTTCTCGCTCCCTCCTCCTCCCTCCTCCCACTCCTGCTTCTGTTCTCCGCGTGTTTGTTGCGAAGGTCTTACGGCCGGTGCTGTCGACCCTGCATGACGGCGACAACCACGGCCACAACGACGAAGCTCTCGGGGGCCTCCTGGGGGTAGTTTTGGGGCCTCTTGGGAAGCTCTTGGGGGCCGCCTGGGAGCGTCGTGGGGGCCTCATGGGGAATCCTGGGGGTCTCCTTTGGGCCTCTTGGGGCTTCTTTGGGGGCTTCTTAGGGGCCTCTGGGGGTCTCCTGAGAGCTTCTCAAGCCGAGGGCTCGAAATGTCCGTTTGGGTCCTCCGTCTGGGCTCCCTTATACAACCGTCTTGGAAGCCTTCGGCGATTCGGGGCCCTCGAGGACCGTCTTGGGGGCATCTTGGGGCATTTTGCCGCGTCTTGGGGCTTTCCTGGGCCCCCGAACCGCACGGGGGGGAGTCGTATCTGACCCGGGACTTCCCCGGGACTTCCCCGGGACCCCCCCCCTCCCCCCCCCGGCGGGGAAGGGATCAAAGGGAAGGGGCTTCTTGTCGACTCCGCTACAACGTTGCTCAATTTCGCTGTGGCTGGCGCGCTCGACGACGAGAACGACCACGACGACGACGACGACAACGACGACGACGCGTCAAACGGAACTGCCTACAGGCCGACAGGGTCGGCGGATTTCGGCACACCCCTCACACGTCCCGTGGTCCCACATGGAGCTCCACCGAAGGCCCCAGCGGCTGCGTTCGCATGCGGTTCTCTGCCTGGTTCAGCACACCGCACACGTCTCGTGGCCCCATAGGGAGCTCCACCGAAGGCTTTAGCGGCTGCGTTCGCATGCAGTTCCCTGCCCATTTCGGCATACCTCTCACACGTTCCGTGGCCCCATAGGGAGCTCCAGGTCCTAGTGGCAGGGTTCGCATGTGGTCCCCCGCACAGTCGGGCACACCCATCACACGCATGGTGGCCCCGTAGGGAGCTCCACCGAAGCCCCAGCGGCTGCGTTCGCACGCGTTTCCCGCGCCTAGTTTGGCACATCCTTCACAAGTCCCGTGGCCACATAAGGAGCTCCGACGAAGGCCCCAGCGGCTGCATTTGCATGCGATTCCCTGCCCCTGTTCGGCACACCCTTCACACGTCCTGTGGGAGAGCTCCACCGATTGCCCCAGCGGCTGCGTTCGCAAGCGGTTCCCCGCCCATTCTGGTGCACCCCTTGCACGTCTCGTGGCCCCATGGGGAGCTCCACCGAGGGGCCCACCGCCTGCGTCCGCATGCGGTTCCAGGCCCATTTCGGCAAACCCCTCGCACGTTCCGTGGTCCCATAGGGAGCTCCACGAAGGTCCTAGTGGCAGGGTTTGCGTGTGGTTCCCCGCCCATGTCGGCACACCCCTTGCACGCTTCGTGGCCCCGTAGGGAGCTCCACCGAAGGACCCAGCGGCTGCGTTCGCACGCGTTTCCCCCGCCCACTGCGGCACACCCCTCGCACGGTTCGTGGCCCCATAGGGAGCTCCACCGAATGCCCCAAGTGGCGACGTTTGCATGCGTCTCCCTCGGCCCATTTCGGCATGCCTCTCACACGTTTCGTAGACCCCATCCGCATGTCACGTGCCCCATCCTTCCCGCGGCGCGCCACCTACGAGGAGATGGTCATACCCTGCGCGATTCGCAGCTGCAGATGGTTCGATCCTTCGCCAGGCTATTTTTTTCTCCCGTTGCTCACCTGGGAAGGGGTCGGCTAATGGAACGGATCACCAGCACTTGCCGAGGAGGCGGCGCCACCCTCGCAGAGGAACGCAACGTTCACCATGAGCGCAGATTCTGGGAGGTCCGCGCGGATGTCCCGGGTCGGCGCTGGACCCGGCCGTGGGATGATTATGCACAATTCTCAGAGGGGGCCCGAGTGGACGGGGTCGGAAGATCGCTCCGCCGCATCGCCGATGCATCGGCGATGTGGTTCGATGTGGAGGGCGATTCTCTCCATGCCGACGTCGCTGGTGCGCCGCCGATGTCAGCGATGCATCGGCGATGCATCGACGATGCATCGGCGACGCGGCGCAATTTCCCGACCTTATCTGCTCGGACCCCATTTGGGATACACTCTTTTACGGAATATCAGAGACCACCGCCAGAGAGAACCCAGCGAGAGAAACAGAGACCACCGCACCCGAGAACCCAAGCCACAGGTCGCTAAGCGACCAGACAGGATGACAATGACCGATCAAGAGGCGCAGGCTGGAGCGTGGCAGCGGCTAAAGGACGAATTGCCCAGTGGAAAGAGGTTCGAGTACGAGCAGATCACAGAGCAAGCGATTGGCCACGTTCGACTCGGCGCGTCCCCTCGTCGTCGTCGTCGTCGTCGTCGTCGTCGTCCTCCTCCTCAAGAGACCCTTAAGCACGTGATCGTGTGGGCAGTGGGGGTGCGCTTTATGTCTACCTTGAGAAGAGCGAGCGGAGGTGAAGAGGGTGGAGCACGCTAAGCGAAGGAATGTTCACTTTACTGATCTAGTCAATTGGAGGGCCGCTGGCAGCGCCAACGTTTAGATCGACCTGAAAGAAGATACTGCCATGGCCAACAAGTGGTAGCACAGTACCGCTGTGGTGCAGTACCCTGGACACAGACACAACATACAAATTATAAACATGCCTTGCTGGGTCTGTGGGCGTTTGGGGCGAGCAAGACGGAGGCGAGCACCGACTGGGGCAGGCATGTGTTTGCCAGGAGGAGCACAGGGAGGCAGATAGTCTGGCGAACAAGGTAATGACTGCAATGGAAGGTGTAAGCGGAACGTGCCCCGAAAATTTGGCGGCTGCGACGGTCCAGATGAATCCGTTGTGCTTTCGAGCCAGCTTCGACGGAGGCCCTAGAGGTGAAGACCAGTGCAGCTCTGCAGCGGTTGTAGATGTCTGGACGGGGGCGGTGGGGGTCGGGGTGGGGGTCAGAGTGGATCTCGGGCGAGGAATGATTTTCGGGAGTCCCAAGGAAGCAGTTGCAGTGGGTGGGGATGCCAAGGCGAGGTGGGGGTCAGGGTGGATCTCGGGCGAGGAAAGGGGATCGCAGGCGAGTCGCCCGCTGGGTTGTTCAGTCGCAAGAGCAGAGCTCCAGGCAGCGGCGATGGCCTCGAGATAGCGACGACGCCTCGCACGCATCTGGGGTCGGCGGATGGGGCTGCATGTCATTTTCCCCGCCACCTCCCCAGCTCGTGCATGCCACGTTGCTGCTTCCTCAGCCCACGTCGTGCTGCTGCTCGTCCTCTGTGGCTGCGTGTCCGCAGCCCTCGGATCCCTGTCTGTCCGAGCCTCCCGCCCCGCCCGAGAATGGGACCCGCGCGTGCCGGCGCGCTCCTCCTTCTCCTCCTCCTCCTCCTCCTCCTCCTCCTCCTCCTCCTCCTCCTCCCTCCCCCGCCCCCGCCTCCGCTCCTCCTCCTTCCTCCTCCTCTCCTCCTCCTCCTCCTCCTCCTCCTCCTCCTCCTCCCTCCTCCTCCTCCTCCTCCTCCTCCTCCTCCTCCTCCTCCTCCTCCTCCTCCTCCTCCTCCTCCCCCTGTCCCGCGGGCCCGCGCGCCAGGTGCTGCAGCGGGCCAGCGGCGTCCTGACGCGGGACGGCTCTCCCGCGGGCTCTCCCGCGGGCCCGCCCTCCAGGGGCCTCCTTCAAGGGAGGACAAAGCACCCGGACCCAATAATTGGCGTTTGCCAAAGGGGCCCCAGGCGTGTACCCAACAGCCATGTTCGATTCCTTCCCTGGGCGCGTTTGCCGAACGGCTTCGGCTGCTGGGGTGCTTGTTATGGGGGTGGATTTTCTACCCTCCACTCCTTGCCCTCGGGGGGGAGGAGGCCTTCCTTGCGCTCTTCGCTGTTGCTTCTGTGCCTCGGGGGGCCCTCTCTGTCCCCAGGGCCGGAGCCCGCTCGAGCCCGCTCGAGCCCGCTCGAGCTTCGGGCTCGGGTCCTTCTCCGCTCGGAGGCTGATAGCCCTCCTACCCTGACACGTCGATGAGCGAATGGGCCGTTCTCGGTTCGCGGGAGGCCTTCTCGGCCGTCACTTTTGCGGGTCCAGGTCCGTGGGTTTCGGTCCTAGGCCGTTTTCACTAAGGGGTGGTTTACTAAAGGGAGGTTTGTCAACCGCCGATCCGAGGGCGTCTTGAGCGACCGGGGCCTCCGAGGTCCCAAGACCGTGCGGTGATGGGCCGTGTGGTGATGTCTCTCTGGATTTTCCCCAATCAGTGCTTGCACTGAAGGGGTCCTAGCGGAAATTGAAAGATTTGGCGAAAGTGTCCCGCCGATTTTGGTGGCTGGCTGGGTTCCCTGGTTCCTGGTCCCGGGTTCCCAGGTTCCTGGTTATTGGTTCCGGGCCGATTTCGATGGGTTTCGGGTTCCCGGGTTCACGGTCGATCTCGTTATCGATCTCTTCATCGATCCCATTTCAAACCATCCACTGATTGGGGTTTCTCTCTGGTGTAATGTCTCCCTGGATTTCTGTTGGGTCGCCGCACGGTCTTTCGCCGCAACGCTCTGGGGCCCCCGAGGGGCGAGGGAGAGCCATCGGCAAGGAAGTAGGGGCGGGTGGGCTCTGGTGCGGGACGCGTGGGCCTCCCAACATCGCTCATTCGTCGCCGACGCGAGGCCCGATGGCCCACTCTGTGCAGGGACCTGCGGTTTCGCTGTCGGCGGCGTATCGCCGATCCGTCATCGATGTATCGTCGACTCCATGCAGATGTTTTCCACCTCGGCCCAGTCCACCACTGCCGTTCTCCTCGTGGGGGAGGGGATGAGTTAGTTACTCTCCAAGGCAGTTGAAGCGATTAGGTCAGCCCACTGTGCTTGGCACAAGATGTTCAGCACGCCGTGCCCTGGGGCCAAAGCAAGCGGTTCCGGGACGCAGCACCGCATCGGACAGCAGTTCCCCGAACAGTGTTTGCACATATTTTTGGATGGGGCAAGAGTCGCCCCCCCTTGAATCCGCTTGGGGGGGGTTGGGCACGTGCTGTCGGCATTGGTGGAGGGGGGTTTGGAGGAAGAGGAGGAGGATGAGGAGAGGGAGGGGGATGAAGGGGGGCGGGATTGGGCAGGCTCCATCAGAAGGTCAATCCCCCCCCCCTCTTGATAAAAAAACCCATCCAGAGTAGGGGTTCTTGCTTCGCTTCCTAGGGAGCTGGGCCCGTGTGCGGCACTGGCGGTCCCGTTCCCGTCCGTCGCCGGCGTTCTGTACGGTCCGCCCGCATGGTAAGGATGGGCAGGCTTCCCAAGGGTTCCCATCGGTCGTTGCAAGTAGGTATTTTGGGATTCCCAGGTCCTAATCTACTTTTCGCGCCTTCCTACTTCAATGATCGAGTGCCTTCACCTTTTCCGTCCTTCTTGGGGGGCGCACGGAGCCCAATCTTTTTTCAGCGCCTTCCTCTTTCATGTTTCTACCTACTTCTTCCGTCCGATGGATGCCCCTTGCATCCTTGCCTCCTCGGCCATCCCTGGCCGCTCTCTCTGGCCACGCCCCGCTCGAGAAGCTTCGAGATGGCCTCCCGAGGCCCTTGCCTCCTTGTCGCGCATTCTCATGATGCGGGCTGGCTGTATCCGGAGACATTGTCAGTGTGCGGCCCCGGCGGCCCCGTGCCCGCCCGTTGCCGCCGGCCGTTACACCCCGCCCCGTTGCCTTGCAATCGCCTGGTGTTGCAATCACGTTGCACTGCCTTTCGCAATCGCATTGCGTTGCAATCGCATCGCATAACATTGCAACTATATTGCATTGCGTTATCTTGCATGGCTTTGCATCACTTTGCATCGCATTGCATTGCGTTGTACTGCTTTGCATTGTTTTGCAATGCTTCGAATTGCTTTGCATTGCTTTGGTTGTATGGCTTTCCATTACATGTCTTTGCGTTGCATTACGCTGTATTACTTTTCATGCTTTGCATTGCGTCGCATTGCGTTGCATTGCCTTGCGTTACTTTGCATATCTGTTCATTGTTTTGAAACGCTTTGCATTTCGTTGCACGGCATTGCAAGGCTTTGCAAGGCTTTGCATTGAATTTCATTGCTTTGTATTGCTGTGCGCTGCCTTGCGTTGCCTTGCGTTGCCTAGCATTGCCTTGCATGGCATTTCATTGCGTTGCATTGTGTTGCATGGCTTGGCATGGCTCGGCATGGTTTTGCATGGCTTTGCTTTGCTTTGCATGATCTTGCATTGCGTTGCATTGCTTTGCATTGCTTTGCCTTGCCTTGCCTTGCTTTACACTGCTTGGCTTTTGCAACGCGTAGATCGCACCACATGGATCCCACGACCTACGTAGATTGGTTGCACCGCCCAGACTGCACCGCATAGCTGCAAAACATCACTGGTCGGGGCCCTCGCTGGCTAACCTGTTACCCGGAGGAAAGACAGGCACCACCACCACCACCACACCACCGGGGGTGCCACTCCCGGCGAGGATGTCCACGATGCCTACCCGAGCTGGGCACAGGGGATGTCTCGAGCGTCGGGAGCGGCCAAGAGGGGGTTGATGACTAGGGGGGGATGGATGTCATGGCCAGGGCCACGAGAACTCCCCAGATTTCATGGCCCCTCCTCTTACCCCCCCGGCCCGCGCACATGCCCCGGGCCATGATCTGCACCCCCTCCCCTCCCTCCTGGACGCCCCCCTCCTGGACGCCCCCGAGAGCGGGGAGGGGCGCCCACGCCACCAGTTGGACCCCCCTCTTCGCGCGCGGTGCTGGGGACGTCGGCCTCGGCTCCTCTGCTCGTGCACGCCGTCAGACGTCGGGGCTGGATCCGCGCCTGCCGGAGGCCAGGGCCGCCGCCGCTGCTTGCCGGGCCACGGCATGGCCTCCGACGACGGTCGTGCTTCCGTGAGGTGTTCGCAGCACGCCGGAGCCCGCGCCACATTTCGGGACCGTATGTCCCGCCAACTCGGGTCTCCCAGACTCGGGCCCGATATGCCTCCCCGTCCCTCATATCGTTCCACGGACCCGGGGCCGCACCAGACACCGGGGACCCTGGGGGTGGACGTCCGTCCCCAGGGAAGTGGTGGCGGAGGGGGGGCGGCGGCGCAGGAGGAGGCGGAGCACGAGGGGCAGGAGGAGCAGGAGGTTCCTGGATGTCCCTGGGGCGCCACGGTGCGCGTGGCCGTGGAGAGGGAGGAGGAGGAGGAGATGGAGGAGATGGAGGAGGAGGAGGAGGAGGAGGAGGAGGAGGAGGAGGAGGAGGAGGGAGGAGGAGGAGGAGGAGGAGGAGGAGGAGGAGGAGGGAGGACCTGTGCAAACCCAAAGCTCATCAACGATGATGCAACAAACCTTTTTTCCAAGTTCCCGCGTCGTAGATCCCTACAAGGATTTATCGAAGACGCCAACGGCGAATCACCGCCGCCCCCTGCCTTTTTGGAAGCGCCTGCGTGGCCGAAAGTTGGGTTTGAGCTTGGCCAAGCTATCCGGCCACGCGCTCCCCGAGTGGGTTTCGAAAGCCTTCGGGGAACACCGAGTCGGGCGAGCTATCGGACTAGGTGGTTTCAGAGCTTTCGGGCCTCCTGGAGGACGTCTTGGAGGTGTCTTGGGCCGTCTTGGAGGCCTCTGGCGGGCCTTTTGGCAGTCTTAGGCCATCTTCAGGTCATCTGAGGCCGTCTTGGGTGCATCTTGGGGCCATCTTGGCCGTCTTGGAGGCCACCTTGGCCGTCTTGGAGGCATCTTGGAGGCCATCTTGGCAGTCTTGGAGGCCATCTGAGGCGTCTTGGGGGCCTCTTGGGCCGTCTTGGGGCCTTCTTGAGGATGTCTTGGGGGCCTCTTGGGTGCTCTTGGGTCGATATTGGGGGCCGCTTGGGCCGTCTTGGGCCGTCGGAGAGCTGAAAAGGAGCAAAAGCCACAATCCTTGAAACATCTAAGGCAATTCAATGATTTCGGCCCTTTCGGGCCTTCCTGGAGGACGTCTTGGAGATCTCTTGTGCCGTCTTGGAGGCCTGTTGCGGGCCTTTTGGGCAGTCTTAGGCCATCTTGAGGTCAGCTTAGGCCGTCTTGGGTGCATCTTGGGGACATCTTGGCCGCCCTGGAGGCCATCTTTTAGGCCATCGTGGCAGTCTAGTGGAGCGTCTTGGGGGCCTCTTGGGCCGTCTTGGGGCCTTCTTTGGGCTGTCTTGGGGGCCTCTTGGGCCGTCCTGGGGCCATCTTGGATGCTTCTTGGGCACTCTTGGGGCGATCTTGATGGTCTCTTGGGCCGTCTCGGGCCGTCGGAAGGCCGAAAAGGAGCAAAAGCCAAAATGCTTCAAAAACCTAGGGAAAGTTAATGATCTTGACCTCTTCGGGCCGTCCTTGAGGACCCTGGAGGACCTCTTCGAGGCCTCTTGGGCCGTCTTGGAGGCCTCTTGGAGGCCCCTGGGGCCGTCTTGGGCCGTCTTGGGCCGTCTTAGGTGTTTCTTGTGCGAACTTGGAGGCATCGTTGACTCTCGTGGGCCGTCTTCGAGGCCATCTTGGACCATCTTGGGCGAACTTGGAGGCCATCTTGGGCCATCTTGGCCATCTTGGAGGCCATCTTGGAACCGTCTGAAGCCGAACAACCCTTTGCAACCACCTTTTATGCGCCCTTCTGGGTGGCCAGCGGGACGGGCCGAAGCGCCAGAGAGTTCT